TTCATAAGATCATCGAAAAACTTTTTTCGTGCTACACCACCACAGGACAACTCAACTTCAGCACTACACAAGAAATTTATAAATTAAACAAAGACATACAAAGCTTATATATTACAGTAAGTAGCCCACAATTAACTTAACACAATTACATACCTTTCAGGGGAATTCATCAACCACGTTTGGAGATCTTCAAATTTAGCTGGATCCACTGGCCTATGAGGGTCGTACTTCGTCACATTTGTAAATTTTTTTCTCTTTTCAATATTCCTCCACGGAGTACATAGAACGACGGTCTTTCTTTTCTTCCGGTGCCCTCTCCCCTTAGGAGACTCAGGTGGATCGTCTTCATCGGAGATCTCCATCTCAATTGCTGTAGATGGATCGTCTTCATCGGTATTCTCCAACTCAATTGCTGCTGCCGGATCGTCTTCAACAGTGTTCTCCATCTCAATTGGTGTCGGCGACAGTTGTCTCTCTTCGTACACAACAATGACTGATGACGGGTGGGTCACAAAACATACAATAAGCAAGAAAACAATCAATACTGTTATATTTACAAGAATCCACCGTCATATTACATAGTAGTTAAAATTATACTTTACATACCCGCATCATTATGAAGTCCAACCATTTCTTGTTCGGGCATCGGAGATGGTGATTTCATCGTGTCTGCGAAGTAGAAAAATAATTAAATAGTTCAATAACATGATTTGCATTTCTTTTAAAATAATTTTTTTACTACAAAAAATATTACAATGATCGAGTAATAATAATAAAATGATGCATTGGTATATATAAAAAAAACTTTACCTGGGTCAACGGTCTCCGTATCCCGCATATTTTGCTCCACCTCATCATCCGGATCATCATATGTCCCATCATAAGTACCTCGGGTAGATTGTTTATCTTTTGCTTCAAAAAACACATTCTTCATTCTCTCGAACAAATTGTCTATCTTCATCTTCATCTTCGTCTCCATTTGCTCCGAAATAATTTTCATCTCGTCCTTCAACACTTTCCTCACCTCTTCCTGCACTATTGTCCTCACCTCGTCCTTCACCACTTTCTTAAGTATACTTGCAATCTTTTCTTCATCAATAACATGAGGTTGTGGTGGAGGTTGAGACGCATTTTGTTGTTGTTGTTGTTCTTCTTCTTCTTTTTCTTCTTCTTCTTCTTCTTCTTCTTCTTCTTTTTATTCTTTTTATTCTTCTTCTTCTTCTTCTTCTTCTTCTTCTTCTTCTTCTTCTTCTTCTTCTTCTTCTTCTTCTTTTTCTTCATCATCATCGGGGTTAGAAGATTCATCAGCTTCTTCATCCTCAGCTTTGGATGCACTGCCTTCTTCTTCCTCAAGTTGACAGACACTAACTTCTGTCCTGGAAGTTATACCCATTTCATTAAAAAATGATGTGTCCACTTCAGAGGAAGAGGGTTCCAACGTTTGCCGAACTTCAACCTGATTTTAATGGAATTTCAATTAGAATTTTAAGAGTATAACAATAAATAAGAAGAATAATCTATAACAAAACTTACTTCCACCCTCTCAAAAAAAGACTGAAGCGTCTCGGCTCGCAATTGTTTATCCATTTTCCAGCAATACATTTTCGGATATAGATTACCAACACATTTTTTAGCAAATTCTCTTCCGAAATTAGGTAGCGCCTCAAATGCCCAAATCTGCTTAGCAAGCAAGAGAGCATAATTATGAATACAAGTAACAAAAATAAATAATAAAAAAAACATAAATATATGTTTACATGAAAAGTACCACGATTGCCATGGGAAATCCATGCAAAGAATACGCTACGGACTTTGATTTTGGTCCGTTCCCCAAAGAGGTCCGCTTGAATACTTTTACAGTCTGCTCGTACGACAAGTTGCCCCAAGGAAAATTATTGAATTTTTCTAAATCTTCCACCAAATGAAACCATCTTTTGTCTACAAGAGTCTCGACCTCTGCAGAAAAAATAATATGCTCCAAGACAGTCACAAGCCCGAATTTGAACTTCAACTCCTAGTCTTCATCCTCTATAAGCTTATGAAATTCAACGAGCAAGTCATTGTGTTTTATAGTCCCCCGCTTATCCTTGAAGAGTTGCAAAAGCGAACTATTCGTTTTGGGGACGTCGTAGGAATTCTCATTTAAAGCCACAATCTTCAACCCGGTTACAAAAGAAAACTCTTGTAACCCGAATCTACACTCCTTCTCTCCAAATCTAAACCACACGGCATCTTTCTCATCTTCGGATGCTTTCAATGTCCTA